TTCTATCAGGTCACCTCTAATTCTTTTATATTCTAGAGAATATAGGCTTAGTCTACTCAACCGCTCCTTGTAGGTCAACTCCACAAGTCACATCCTGGCACAAGTCACATTTCTTCCTGTTAGCCACTCTCCAATCCATGCTAATATATTACCTTTAATTCCATGGGCTTTAATCTTATGCAATAGCCTTTTATGTGGCATCATGTCGAATGCCTTCTGGAAATCCAAATACACCACATCTACTGGTTCCTCCTTATCTAACCTGCTAGTTACATCCTCAAAAAACTCTATAAGATTTATTAAACATGATTTCCCTTTCGTAAACCCATGTTGACTCTGCCTAATCATGTTATGATTTTCTAAGTACCCCACGATGACGTCCCTAATTAAGGACTCTAGAATTTTCCCTACTACCGATGTCAGACTAGCTGGTCTATAGTTCCCCATTTTTTATCTCCCACTCTTCTTAAATAGCAGCATTATGTTTGCGACCTTCCAATCAATGGGAACCATTCCAGAATCCAGGGAATTTTGGAAGATCAAAAACAAAGCATCCACTATCTCTGCAGCCACCTCTTTTAAAACCCTAGGATGCAGGCCATCAGGTCTAGGGGATTTATTGGTTTTTAATCCTGTCAATTTCACTGGTACTATTGCTTTACCAATGTTCATTTCTTCAAGTTCCTCATTAACATTAGCCTTCAGGTTCCCCTCTATTTTCAGCAAGTTTTCAGTGTCCTCTAACGTGAAGACAAAAGCAAAATATTTGTTTAATGACTTTGCCATTTCTTTATTCCCCATTATAATTTTTCCTGGCTCTGCTTGCAATGGACCCACATTCGCTTTTGATAGTCTCTTCCTCTTTATATATTTGTAAAGACTCTTACAATTTGTCTTTATGTTCCTAGCTAGTTTACCCTCATATTCCATTTTCTCCCTCTTAATCAGTTTCTTGGATTTCCTTTGCTGCTCTCTACAGTTCACCCCAAGCATTGAAATGTCAACCCTGTCCAAGGTGGCCTCAATTGGTGGCCCGTGGGCCAAATCCGGCCTGGTGGATGTTTTATTCCGGCCTGAAAAGCATTTCCAACCATTTCATTTTCTGATAAGCAAATATAGGTGACACACAGGCCCAGAACCAATCAAGGCCCAGAACCAACCAATTGTGGAGTCCTGTAGCTCAGTGGTTAGAGCACTCGCTTTGCAAGCGAGAGACCTGAGTTCAATTCCAGGCAGGTCAGGGCGAAACCTTGGGCAAGTTTCCTTACTCCACACGCCTAATAATAATCCCTCCAAAACAAAAAACAATAATAAATTGATCATTTTCAATCTACGACTGTTTGTGGGACATTGCTGTGCGTAATTGGCTGCCGCGTTCACCCACAAATATACAGTCAATTCACTTTACAGTGTGTTCTGTGAAGCGCTTTGGGACGTCCTCCCGACGTGAAAGGCGCTATATCAAATGCAAGGATTAAGGGGTGGTCACCGGTGGCTCAGGCTCTGCTGGACAATGGGTCGGGTCAATCAGGAGATGATCACTGGGGGCTCAGGTTTCGCCCGGCAACCAAACTGGTCTGGGTGGGGGGCTCAGGCTTATCACTATGCTTGGAAAAAATATGGAATTTTCTTGTATATCTTGGCAGGTTTATGAGGTTGGTAACTTTGAACTTGCATTGACAGTGTTCATAATTAGGGATGTTAAATTATGTGCATTTTAATTCACTCACTTTATTATTTATTTTAATTATTTTAATGCACTTTCATTTATTTATTATTTATTTCACTTTCACAGTTTGCGCTGGATTTGCTGATTATTCTTGCATATATGTACTTTGTTGATACAAGTGTATTATTATTTTAAAATTTGTATGACATTTTATATTACCTATTTAAAGTTTGCATTGTAATTAAAATATAGTAAAATTATGTAATACAGTTACACAACTTAAAACATAGTATTTCTATATGATTCTCTACGGGTTATGTTTCTGGAAGGGAAACACAAAAATGTTGTTTATGTGACCCTCAGCAACAAAAAGATTGGACCTCGTTGACTTAGATGATAAGTCTCAGAGTCCTAATGTGGGTCTTAAAGCCACACCCTTCTGACTCAGAGGCAAGAGTGCTTCCAACTGAGCTAAGCTGATAACAGGTTCTGTTAACAGATGCTAATTGTTCCATTAGGTTATTGCTGGAAACTATAGATGAGTTGGATATGTGATGTCAAAAAGTGAGCTAACCACTATGCAAAGCATCATCACCCTAGAAGTGTTCAACATTGGATTTAGAAGTAACAGAATTCTTCGAGGAGCTAACTTATTAGTGCATTATATGTTGTTTGGTCACCATACCTTCAAATCAGATATGTGAAAAAAAGTCTTCCAACCAATAACGTATTAATTAACTGATTTAAAACGTTTCTTTTTGGAAACTTTGCAGTCTTCCTGAACTTTGCTGTAGGCTACTAGATGGCAGCACACCCCTCCCAATAAGTGATTTCTTCCTATTCAGATCCCAGGGCAAACACTTAAAATGTTATCTCTCCTTGGCTAAAAAAAATAAACATTTTATCAATCAAGCTTTAGGCCTGCAGACAATGGCAAAATTTTAAATTGTGGCCAGGAAGAAGGTGGATATCAATTCTACTCACTGGGTTCACCCTGGAAAATAGCAGACACTGGCATCTGAAAAGGAAGAGGCAGGGCTGCCATCTAGTGGGCATTAGTATCTCTCACAGAGATAAACAACATTGCCATCTTTACTCCAATATTAGGAGATGTAGGCTGAGATAAATAAACACTCTACAGGTCACATGAATGATTTTTGTGCTTCTTTGGGGATAATGTTTCTGGTATCTAAAGAGAGAAGCAGTACAGCAGGGTTGAATAACTTGAATAATAATGATAATAATATTCCTTGCATTTGATATAGCGCCTTAACACAACAAAATCTTTCAAAGTAAGTGTTTCACAGAAGTATGGTAACTGTGTATTTGTAAACGAATGTGGCAGCCAGTTCGCACGCAGCAATGCCCCACAAACAGCCATGAAGTGAATAACCAAATTTTTAATCTGGAGGAATGTTGACAAGACGCTAGGGTGAAAAAATCCCTTCTCCTTTCGCATAGCGCCATGGGATCTTTACTGTCCATCTGATCAGGCAGATGGGGCCTTGGATTAATGTTTGATCTGAAGGATGGCACCTCTGATAATGCAGTCTTCCTCAGCCCTAGTGTCAGCCTAGAGTCGAGCTCAAAGTTTCAAAATGGGGCGTAGATAATGCAATTGGACAAATATTCTGAAGTTTTCCATTGCTGTAACATTTCATAATTTACTGCCATGGATAGAGTTGTAGGGTAAATTTTGTACGATCTGTACATAGTGGATTTGATGCATCAATCAATAATTTTTATTCCCTGCTTTCTTATCTCTTTATTTTAGTCAGGTAGCCAACTAAAATAAAAATGGTAGATGGTTAATAATGTTCACTGTGGCTACAGTGGATAATTTGTACTTTAATTGTTGGATTACTTCATGGTGTAATTATTAACAGTTACATCTGATAGAAGGTTGATAATTTTGTGCTGTCAAGTGTGGAAACAAGGTCTGTGTACCATGGTACAGTGACTGAGTCATTATCAGCATTGCCTCTGGGAATGTCACTTTCATTGTAGTGATTTCTGAGACATTCTGTCTCTTTCAGCAAAGATCTTCAAAACTGCTGTGCTTTCAGCATTCATAATTTATTGCTCTTTCATATGAAGAAAAAAGGCAAGCATAATCAACAGTCATTTTGTGCCATAAGTTGACTAATAATTACAAACCTGAATCCAATATGACTCATTTTTTATTTTCAACTATGAATATTAAAAATTAGATATGGAAGACGTGAAAAGCACTATATCAAATCCAAGGATTATTATTATTATAATTATATAACATAGATAAGGTTGGTTGTTGTGTATGTGAGGAAGAAGCACAGTCTTCATGAATACATATTTGACATACATTTTAATTCATTTTAGTTTTGTACAAGGATATAATGCAAATTGTATTAAAACATACCCTCTCATCACTTACACGTAAGCTTACAAGGATGAAGTGATAACATGCTCTTCTGGCTCTTATTCACCAACTCAGTCTTCCTTTTAAGTGTTCCCTGGAGAGCTTCTTGAGTACAATATAATTGTTTTGATAGAAATAACCGAAATTGGCCTTCCTTAGCACACTGCTTGTGATAAAGAGAAAAATATAAATTCTGAACGGTCCTTGCCTGGATTGTAAACAGACATAGTCACCCAAAGAGAATGTAGATGAACAGGGGGATTTGTTGACTGTCTTGAAGCTGAAATTCCTGTCAGACTGAGATGATTGTATTTGTTAAAATGAATTCTGTTTGTTTTAAGTTGTACAGCGCAGTACAGATCTGATTATTTATCTCCTGTCCTTCTTACACAAACTGCAGACCCTTCAACACTCTGCAGTTCATGTCTGCTCTTGCATCAGATTCTGGGAACCTATCACCCCGATCCTCATTGGCTCCACTAGTTCCCCATCCCCCAGTGGATCAAATCCAAGATCCGTGTCATATTCAAATCCCTTCAGTTCTTTCCCCACCGTATTACCCCCATCTGCATCATCCTACAATGACCCAGCCTATCCCACCACCCAGCTCAGCAGGCACTGGCCTGCTTTGTGTCCTCGCCCACCCCATCCTCCCATCAATGGGTGAATTTTCAGCCATTCTGTCCTTACTCGGAAACTGCATCTTAGAGTCTCTCCAACTTGGCCCCTCCCTCACAACTTTTTAAAGCCCACCTTAATATTGAAAGCACGTTTTCAACAATGCCTAGTCATCCCCTCCCGACACCCCACCCCCACTTGTATTTTTCCTGAAATATTTATGAAAGTTTACCTAGATTTTATCCAAATAAATGAAATGGAGGAACGTTGTGGAAATTGATGACTTATTTGAAACAATTCATCTTTCCTTTATAGGTCTGGATGTGCCCACTATTGTGCTGTATGCGGTTTTGACTCTGATGACTGTAATTGCAAACCTTGTGTTGTTTGATGAAGTTCTCTACTTGATGAGAAAAATGTCCTGCCAAAAGAAGAGGTCAGCAATTATTTGGGTCAGCGGGGCTGCACCTGTAAGTGTGTTTTATCCTGTTTTGTCAATATTTTCACTTATATTTTTCTTGTATTTCCATAATATTTTAAAATGGTCTGTTTCTCCATCTTGTTTGAATTCATCCTTAATTTTACCCCATATTTTTCAGAGTAATTTATCCCTGAAATAAAATGAATAAATTTGACTGTTGCAGAAAATGCTTTCAAAATGTCATGTTGTACTTTCTTTCTTTGAGTAATCCATCTTGTACATGATTGCAACACAATGATAGCAGTTGAGTCAAAAAGTGCACAATGAAATCTGAGTCAAATCTGTGTTTCTTCTCACTAATTCCCATGGTTTGACCTAAAACAAGTGCAAAAGGAAACTTTCACAAACCTCAGCTGATGTCTACTACTAAGCTAATTCTCTCTCTCTCTCTCTCAAAAGAAGAGATCCTGGAGGAATTTTAAAAAAAAATACATTGGGATTTTTTAAATAGATTTTTGTGGTATAGAAGAGAATGCTTATCATCACTTCTGAAAAAAGGGGTGGTCACCCTAGTTAGAGATTTGGAAACTCTGCTAGCTTTGTGTTATTTAAAAAGTATGAAGATGCCATTACTCTTATCTTGGCTAGACTCACTTAATTTATTTAATTTTACTGCTGCTTGTGGATTGTCAGTGCATACTGTTGTACTGGAGCCATTTGGAAATGTCCCGTTTTCATCCGATAGAGAACCCAGCAACAACAATAACAAATTACATTTGTATTGTGCCTTTCATGTCAGGAGGACGTCCCAAGGTGCTGAAGCTTCTACAACACAATAATAATAATCCTTGCATTTGATACAGCGCCTTATCACATTGTTGAGATGTCTCAAAGCGCTTCACAGGATACACTGTAAAGTGTAGTGACTCTGCGTTTTGTGGATGAAATGCGGCAGCCAATTGCGCACAGCAGTGTCCCACAAACAGTCGTAGATTGAGCGACCAAATTATTATATTTGAAGGAGAGGCAGACTTCAAAGAAGATTCTTCTTCAACTCTTGTATCAATTTCACGTTTCTTCTGCATAATTCCACAAATAACTTTCAGAAAATGGTGATGTGGTAAATTTGGTTTCCAGAATATTTAAAGTAATATTTTCTTTTTTCAGGTGATAGCTTCTACATCTTGTGTTGGAATGTGGGTTCCTCTGTCATCACTAGTCACAGAGTTGACAGCTGCTGTGTAAGCATTCTTTTTCTTTCCTTTTTTGACTTATGTGCGGTTCCATGTACTGGATGCAATGTATGTTCCAAAGGTTGCCAGATGTTGTGTCATGGATACAGTTGGACCAGATTATAAAATGATGGTTTGAGACTATAAAATCAGACTCCATTTTATAATGTTCTGTTATAAAGTCCCGTTGACGTCACTTCCTGTGTGCTGGTATGAGTCCTATGTGCAAGAAGTGCCTCTCACACCACTTCCTGTGCACGGTAAATGAATGTGCGGAAACGGCCAGTCAGCATCAGAAGATGGACGTGTGTGGGACCACAGCACAGCCCGTGCTATAACCAGATCTTCCTATTCGAGTACTTTTCCAATCATCATTTCTTTCAGTGTAACATTTAGGATTCAGTAACAATTGAACAGAATATAGATACCTAAATCTCTCTCTCTCTATATATATATATATATATATTAAATCAGTGTGCTATTATTTTTATAGATACTTTGCGATTGTCATCCATAAATTCCAGACGATGATAATAGAAGATGCTGGAGGTAATGAGGCATTTCTGAAGCTTTATGAAAACACTCCTGTCAAGATTAGCACAGGTCCTTGTTGTTGTTGCTGCCTTTGTTTGCCTTTTTTAAAGTTGTCAAGGTAAGATATTGTTTCCTTTAAAGTTGTCAGGGATTATTTTATCATTGAGGTTGAGGATTCACTGATGTTGGCGAAGGACTATTCTGCTCCATTTGACAACTTTTGTGTATAACCATTCTTCAAATGAAATCCAATTGTAAAGTGTAATGTAATTAAATTTTTAGTTCATGTAATATCTATGACATAGAACACACTGGAGTTGAATTTATCCCATATCAACAAATATACTATATTGAGTATATAGACTGCAATAAACCCAGTTAATCTTAAAAGTTGTAATATGATAAAATTATTCTTGTTGCTGCTTCACACACAGATTATAGTCCAAGAGCATTAACACTAGACTCAGTAGTATGGGAATTCACTGATTTAGAGCCTTACAACATTGTTTTTTTACTTCAAGAACCTATATTACAATCCAATTCTGACTTTTGGGATGAAGCTGTTATGTCTCTAACAACTGTAAGACTTTTAGCAGCATCAACTCAATTGTTAGTAGGTATAACTTTACAACATAAAACTGCCCATAGTTTAGAATGATATTGGCATTCTCAGAAGGGCTGGGGTGGAGGATGAACATGTTACACTGGTACAGCAGGAATGTTCCTGACTGCACCATATTGGGATTTCTCTTTCCACCAGGCAGTTATAGCACAGGCAGTTAGTGTTATAGCCTAACACTAACATTGCAGTGAATGGAAAAATATTTCCTTACCAAACACAAAAATCCCCCCCCAACCCTGGCTGAATTCAATACAATGTCCTTTTAAAGAAACTTATCAAAGGTAAAACATTCTGTAAAAATCTATACATCAGACATCTCTGCACTTTGTTTCCAGAAACTAACGTAAAAGTAGAGAAAAGTTGGATAACTGTGAAGATTTTAAAAGCTGCTACTTTAGTGGTTTATGAAAAAAGTGCTTTATTAATTTTAGTAATCTGCAAAATAATTCAAAATTATTCTGAAATGCAATTTCTGTACACTAACAAAGAAGCCGTACTTTTTTTTTCTGTACACTAAGAAAGCCGTACTTTTTTTTAAAAAAAGCATGTAGAACCAAAGTGAACACGTAAACTCTTTTGTGCATCCATAAATACAAAGTTATGGCTCTTCTCCCAAAGCGCCCATATGGGGAAGTTTCTGATTCTAGCCAGATATTCTGGGCGTGTGTTAACCCACATTCCAGCAGCAGGGTGTAGGATTCAGCAGCACGGCAGAAATTGAGGTTTTATATACTTTGTATTTGTAATGCTTTTGTTACTATCATCTTAAGATGTGGTATTATTCACATTTGGCGTATTTCTCTTCTTTTAGACGCCTGCTGTTCATGTTGAAACTGGGAACCTTTCAGCTGGCTTTTCTCCGACCAATACTTATGATCTTCACATTAGTCCTCCAAGCAAATAATAGTTTGGGCGATGAAGTATGTTTTCTTTTCCCTGCTTTGTTGTGTGTAGATGATTGTGATCACTATAGTCACTGAGGTTCAGTTAACAAATGTCAACAAAGATAAATATAGTAGGGCTCTCTTTTTAACAAATTACAGTAGATGGTCCATTTGGCCCAAAAAGTCTTGTGCAGTGTTTATATTCAACACGAGTCTCCACCCACCCTTTTCTCCCTCCCATATCCTTTTATTCCCTTATCCCTCTTCTTTTGCTGAATGAAATTAATACATGTTATTATCGTTTTATTATGTGGTTATCAACATACTGGTTTGTGAGAATTAAATTCTTCTTATTTTACAGAATACTACCATTGGCCCTGGATTTGTGATTAATATTTTCCTTGGTGTTTCTACAATCATTGCCTTATGGCCAATTGGGATTGTTTTTAACAAGGTCAAAGATGGCTTTAGGGATCAGAAGATAATCCCCAAATTTGCTCTGTATCAGGTAATAACGGGCTCAGTGCCTTTCAATCATTTGAAACTCTTGTTTTGCCTCATCACTTATCTTAAAATCAAGAATAAGTCTTAGCAGGATCTGAATAGCAGGATGTGAATATAGGTTGTGCATGGAGTTGATGTAATTCCCTCTTAGTGCTTCATTTTGTTCTCTAGTGCTTTCATCTTTGTTAAGAAGCATGTATAACTGTCACTGTTGTGATTTGGTATTACGCATTCATAGGTCAACCCACTCTTAAAGCTCTCTTATTCCATTAGACATTTTATAGATTGGGTGGAAAGCTCATTATTTGAGGCTGTAAACTATGACTGTCAAACTGTCTTTGTCTAACTCTCTTTTTATCAAATCAAATTACTAACTAGTCAATCTGTGGGGTCAGGTTATCAACTTTAATAAAAAAAAGTACTATTGTTATAGTCATATCAAACTGTGATTTTCTACATATGGTGAATTTAATGTTCTCTCTTGTTTTTCAAGTTTGCGCTGATTTTTAGTCAACTCCAGACTGCCATTATCAATATATTGGCATTATTCGAAGTCATTGCCTGTGTATCCCTACTTTCATCCAAAGCCAGAGGAACATGTATGTAAATTGTTAAAATGATAACATTGTGCTTTCACTTTGATTCCTTTGCTATACAGCTATAGCACATTCCTAAGGTTTACACTGTGGTTGCAATGAGTGTGAGAAATCTGCACCCCAGCCTATTCCTGGATACCTTGCGGAGAGAGAATTGCATAGAATTGTATGAACCACAGCAGCACAGAAACAGAACACTCAACTAAACTAGTTCATGCCAGTGTCAAAAGTCCAAATGAGTGTCCACCCTTCCCAATACTCTTTCCTATATTCCTGTATTCCCTTCTCCCTCTTGTATACGTGAATAGAGAAAGCATTTAGATTTCTTACTACACACTACAACAACAAAATTTAATTTTTATAGCATCTTTCATGTTGGGAGGACATCCCAAGGAACTGGACAATCAGTTTTCGGACCCGAGTTAAGGGTGGAGGGCAGTGGGGGAAGCAGAGTGACCAAAGGCACGGTCCAAGAGGGTCTTGAGATGGATCTTGAAGGTGGCAAGGGAGGAGGTGAGGTGAAGAGACTGCGGAATGGAGATCTAGAGGCCGGGGGTAGAGTGGCTGAAGGCCCACTCGCCAATGGTGGGGTGGGTGAGGCGCGGGACGTTAAGCAGGCCAGAGTCCACTGAGCGGAGAAAGGGGACAGGTTGGTAAGGGGTTAGGAGGTTGCAGAGGTAGGAAAGAGCAAGCCCATGGAGGGCTTTGAAAATGAGGACCAGGATCTTGAACTGTATCTTCTGTGCAAGTGGAGTCAGGCAAGGGGGGCAATAGGGTCACAGAGCCTGGTGCGGGAGAGGATCCAGGCTGCAGAGTTCTGGATGATCTGCAACCTATGGAGGGAGGAGTTGGGGAGGCCGACAAGGAAGGAATTTGCATAGTCAAGCCTGGATATTATGAATGCATGTATGAGGGTTTCGGCGGCCTGCGGTATGAGACAATAGCGTAGCCGGGCAATGTTGCAGAGGTGAGGGAAAGCAGAGCGGGTCATGGCATGGATGTGGGGTAGAAAGGATAGATAGTTGAGGGTCAAACAAGATGCCAAGGTTCCGGACTGGCTCGGTGAAGTGGAGTGTGCATCCTTGGATGGTGATGCCGTCAATGCCTGAGGTGCGGAGGCGTTGACGGGGGCCAATCAGGAGGGCCTCGGTCTTGAAGTTCAGCTGTAAAAAGTTAGCTCTCATCTAGAACTTGATGTCTGACAGACATTCTGTCAGGACAGCAGTGATCCTGGAGTCGAGGGTGGAGGCAGAGAGATAGAGTTGGGTGTCATCCGCGTACATGTCTGCGGATGATGTCACCAAGATGCAGCCAACAGATGTTGAAGAGGAGGGGACGAAGGACAGAGCCCTGAGAAATGCCGCAAGAGACGGTGCAGGGGCCAGAAGAGAAGCGGTTTGTGGAGATGAAGTGGAGGCGGTTTGAGAGGTACAATCTGAACCAGTCAAGGACAGAACCATGAAGGTTGAGGTGAGAGGAGAGGCGGTGTCGAAAGCAGCAGAGAGGTCAAGGAGGATGAGGAGGCAGAGGGAGCCCTGTTCATAGATAGACAAAATGTCATTCGTCACTTTTACCAAAGCTGGTTCTGTGTCGTGGGTGGCATGGAAACCTACTTGGAGGGGTTTGTAAAGGGAGTGGCGGGAGAGGAAGGAACGAAGCTGGGATGCAATGACTCATTCCAGGACCTTGGAGATGGGGCAGTAATTTGAGAGCAGGGATGGATCTATGGAGGTTTTTTTTAAGGATAGGAATGATGCCACCCATTTTTAAAAGGGTGGGAACAGTGCCAGTGTACAGGGAGAGGTTTATGATGTCTGTGAGTAGGGGGGCAAGGAAGTGGAGTAGGGAGTTAAGGAGAGCGGTTGGGATAGGGTTGAGGGAGCAGGTGGTTGGTTTCATGTGGGTTATGGTGGTGGTGAGGGGGAGTCAGGTTTGAAGGTGTGGAGGGAGGGATGGGTAGGGGTCGGGGTATGAAGGGTAGATGGGCAGGGGGTAATAGTCAGAAGGGCAGAGGCAGCTGAGCGGATCCCCTCGACTTTGGTATCGAGGACGTCCAGCATCTTCTCGCATTTGGCGTTGGAATATTTCTCAAAATTAATGTTCTTGGAGTAAAAGTTTTGTGAGAAATGTTGATATTATGCACTTGTAGAGTACCTGTTGGATTCAATTTGAACTGTTCATACATTCTCACAATATAACTAAGTGTTCTGCATAGCATGCACTGGAGAATTCTATTTCCTATGAAGAAAGTCATTCGACTAATAACAATATCCTACTGTTCTTTTTAGATATGGCGCAGCAACTTCTCATAATAGAGATGTTTGTGATTACTCTGCTGTCACGGATTTACTACAAAAGGACATATGATTTACCGGAAATAGTGGATACTCAGGCATCAGGAAAAACAGAAGATGTCCAAAGCTACGTTATTGGTTCCCTTGCAGAAAGCCCGCACCAAAAAGTGTGAAAGGGATCCACATCCAAGCTACTAATAATATTCAAATTCCTGTCTGATATCCACAAGCATTATTTTGCCACCCCAAGAATTCAAAAACTTTGGATCAGATTTTCATCAGTTTTAACAGTTAACTTCAAAACAGTTGTCCAGCTCAGTTCATTGACCCTGTTTTCATTTATCACTCTTTAAGTATTTGAATCACAAATCTCAAGCATCCCCAACCCAGGGGTTTCCTCCATCATCCATGAATATCAAGAAATCAATAAACTCTGCAAAAAGTTGGACTCTGAGCAAGATACTATATTTCTTGAAAACAAGTACAAATGAAGCTGTGATCCATACAATAACAACATTGACAAAAAAACTTCTCAAATGTTCCCTATTCTAAACTCCACAGACTGCTGATATTCTATAAAAGTGGAGTCCTGTAGCTCAGTGATTAGAGCACTCGCTTCTCAAGCGAGAGACCTGGGTTCGATTCCCATCAGGGCGAAACCTTGGGCAAGTTTCCTTACTCCACACGCCTAATAATAATCCCTCCAAAAACAAAAACAATAATAAATTGGTCATTTTCAATCTACAACTGTTTGTGGGACATTGCTGTGCGCAATTGGCTGCCGCGTTCGCCCACAAATATAGTCAATTCACTTTACAGTGTGTTCTGTGAAGCGCTTTGGGACGTCCTCCCGACGTGAAAAGCGCGATATCAAATGCAAGGATTATTATTATTATTATATTACAAAGCTCTCTGAGTTAAACTAGAGTATTCAAGATCTTCACCCTCACCTACAAGGCCATTCACGGCCTTGCTCCCTCCTACCTCTCCGACCTACTATCCCCCTACCTACCCGCCCGTACCCTCCGTTCCTCTGGCTCCACATCCCCCGCCCCAACCGCCCTACTATCGGTGGCCGGGCCTTCAGCCTCTCAGCCCCGAGGCTCTGGAACTCCATCCCCCAGTGCCTTCGCCGCCTCCTCCCTTTCCTCCTTCAAGGCCGGTCTCAAGACCTTTCTCTTTGACCGAGCCTTCAGCTCCCCTCTCGACTCTCTACCCCCTCCTCGCTCCCTCCCTTCCCTCCCCTCACCCTGACCATATACCCCTGCTCGGGTCCTGACCCAACTGTACAGCACCTTGGGACGTCCTCCCGACGTGAGAGGCGCTCAATAAATGGAATCTTGTTGTTGTTGTATAGAAATACAGTAATATCTAGTTCATCATGATTCTTGACAAGCACGTATGCAATTCATTGTCGCTGACACTGGTATATTTCTATAGATTTCTAAGGTTTTAATAAGGTTACAGTTGAAGCAATTAATCTCAAAGTATGATGGTGCTGCCTGTTCATATAAGTCACCAAAGGTTACTTAAAATTGCTTGCAAATAAAATTGAAAATATTTGCAAATAGCTCAGTTTAAGGTGGAGTGAGAAAACTCCACCTTAAATTAAGCCATTAGTAAATATTGTTTCTATGAAATAGACAGTAGAAGAAAATTGACAGTCCAACTTTTAAGTAATAATCCTTGCATTTGATATAGCTCTTTCACATCTAGACATCTCAAAGCGCTTCACAGAATATACTGTAAAGTGAATTGACCTGTGTAGCTGTGGGTGAAACGCGACAGCCAATGGTGCACAGCAGTGTCCTACAAACAGACGTGGATTGAAGTGACCAATTTATTTTAAAAGGGTGCCATTTCAAATTAAAATCCATGTACATGATTGACTTAGCACCTTATTGTCATTTGTCCACAAAGTATACTTAATTCACTTCACAGTGTATTCTGTGAAGCACTTTGAGATGTCTCAAAGACGTGAAGAAGCGCTATAAAAAATGCAAGGATTATTATTATTACTATTATTGTTAAGTTTACCCCAGAGTCTCAACTTGTGAACAAATTCTGAATATGATCATTACTAAAATTTGTTCTTTCCTTGATTTTACCATAAAGCAGTTTTTCAGCTTCACAAATAGGATTTTGAATTATGTTCTATCATATTTGTGATGTGGAAGTGGGGAATATTAATCAGGTGGCAGCCAGAACAAAATTCATAAATTAAATACTCATAAAGCTTTGTATACTTACATAAAGGCACTTAAAGGAAATTTAAATTGCAGGAGATTTTGCTTGTCAACAGTTATTTGAAAATTTTGCAATAGCCTTTTAGCTCTTTCAGTACACAGAAAAGAAGGTGTTCTGGGACACTGATTACTTTCGCAATAAATGTAGCTGAATGCAATTTTTTCAACTTTGAAAGCTTGACCTTGTGACTTAAAATTGAATTAAAATTGAACATCAGAGAATGAAGATTCACTTGCACAAACAGATTGGGATAAGTGTAAATGTACTGATATACACATTTTCTATTCATTGTACATATATGAATCAATTCAAGTTTCCACATCCTCAATGAGATCTCATAAATGTGCTGAAACTCTACCATCTGGAGTATTATTGTAAACAATTCAGAGTGATCTTTGAAATTTTTTAAAAAGTTTAAAAATACGCCAGCTCAATCTACTGGATCATGTAAAAGACAGTGAAAACAGTTGACTCTTATGGATACTGTTAACTCAAATCTGTTACTAGCATCACTTTAAATCAGTTATCTATATTGGTCAACCAGGTATTTGGCACATGCAGGAACCCATCAGTATGCTTACGAGTATCCAAACCAAATACTGAGAGGTCTACATATACTCGTCCCAGGACGTGGTCATATCTATGATTTTCCATGCTCGAAAAACTTTGTTTTCAGAAAGAAACAGAAGAGGTGCATTACATGGCTTTAAATATAATTTTGCCCTTTATTCATCAAATACTTCCTGAACAACATTATGACATATTTTGGTAAAAAATAACTTCATTGATAAATACTGGAAAGATATTGTTTCCTTGTGACTGCGCCCATTAGTCAGTGAAACTATGATCATTCATGCCTGTTAACTATTAATTTCAATCTATTGTATATAATTGGATCCCATTATTTAGTAAAACATACGATAATGTACCTTATAAATCTAAATATTATGCCTAAAATTGAAGGCATGTTCTCTTAAACTTCACTGTGCTGATTAAATTGTTCTACAAGTGCATTGTGCAAAGTATTGAGTTCTTCTTCTTGACTGAAACAAAAGATAGCTCTCCATAGTGAAGGAAGGAGAGCAAGAGCAGACAGCGAGCTAGGTATTTTCTAGCGTTTGGTGCAAGAGTAGCATTTGGAAAGGTTTGAAAGAGATTGTCTGTCCACCAGACCTCTCAGTGAACAAAAAGGTGTGGATTCTGTGGGCAGAGTGCACTGGAAAAGAATGAGACCTAATAACATTGATTCAAAACAAAATGAACTCTGTAATGAACAAATTAGTCAGGTAAAAGACGAAGATTGAATGGTTCAGATACATCTCTTCTTGATAAGAAGCTCCCACTATAAGCACGATAATCTATAGTGATAGTTCATGTCTCATTATATGTTCTTTGAGATTTAGAACACCCCAACACCCACCCCAAAAAATTAAATTGCAATAATTCTCTACAATCATTTATGTAGCCCATATTAGTGTTGCAAGTATTTGGTTTAATTACATTTATTTTTGAAACTGTATCAGGATATGGTTATACTGAATATATATTGTTTCTGATTATCAAGGTGGCAGCTTGGCTCTGTTGGTAGAACTCTTCATTCTTGGTCAGAAAATTGTGGGTTCAAGCACCATGTTAGAACTTGAGCTCATAGTTCAGTGACACTGTAGACATTGGGATGGTCAGAGGTGTTATCCTTGAGTGAGATGCTATCAAGGGCCAGGCAATAATGATTCAATGACACTATTAAAAAAGAAAAGGGGTTTCTCCTGGTGTTTTGGTCAACAATCCTCAGGTAAATTGTTGATTAGCTTTATATGTCTTACTATGTGCAAGATGTCCGATGCGTGCGCCTCCACAATCAGTACACTTAACAATAATTACCTTTGAGGTATTTTGATGTTATAGGAGCTGTAACCAATGCAATAATTATTTTTAGCGAATATATTATTCATCTAAAAAGACTAGTAAGCATCACCGGACATGATTTTCTGCTGGTTAGTAATTTACTTCAGTTAAAAGTAAACTGCTCCCAAAGTCAGTAAAATGACTGACAAGTGAAAAATAATTGCCAGAGTCGTATTGTATATTTTTCAGGAGTCTGCTGGAAAAATAACTGATATTACTATACTATATTGTCAGTTATTCTATATCACTTATATCATTATTAATTAGCCTTTTATGTATTTTACCAGACCGCTATCAAGTCAGTGATCCAAAATTAAAAGAGAAAAAAACTAAAAATAATAATCAGATAATATATTGTAAAGAATCAGAAATGTCTAACAGTGAAGTTAAGGCAGCAATTTAGTCTTGAAATTTCAATAACATTTAGAAAGTGCTCACAATTATGATTTGCGATATAATCAGAAATACTTAATAGAATTGCTGCCAGCTATCCATTTTATATATAAGCACATTGCGCCTTTCTATTTATATTACCATTTATTCTGTCAGCCCTGGCATTAATCTAAAGAACATGAAGTACTGCAAATCAACGGCTACTTCTCTATAATTTACTCTGTCATTGTTCTAATTCTGTTTGTAAAGACAACTAAGTGAATATTTCAAGATGCATGGAAGAAGCATTTTAGTTTCCCATTGCTTCAAATTGTAGGTTGTTTAATCTAACATAAAAGGATATTGTTTATTGAAGCATTAAGATATTTCAGTAATAAGTATGCACTTGCCCAACATGCAACATAATTACAGATTTGGATAAAAATTGCATCATGTAAAACATTCATATGAATGGTGTAATACTTTGTGAACTGGTATACCAGGAATTTCAGTATAAGTGCAAGTGTAATTTCCTTTCAAGTATCATAGTTTTCTTTAACCTGTTGTGTGATTAATGTTTAATGTAGAGATCCCATTAGTCTCCTGAGTATATCAGGAATAATGTGACTAAACTTGGACACAAAGCATGGCAATAAAAAAAGGTACTTTGAAGTCATTACCTGGTAGGCTAAGACTCAATTGCTAAATATACATTTGGTAATGAACCAGCAGGTTAATACTCCCAACAAACTTTACTGGCAATAATTATCTGGTAATTGTATTTATAGTTCTCTATATTAAAACAAATGCCTTATCTCTCCGGCCTTACTCATCTGCTCACACACTCCACTCAGCCAACTCAGGCTTTTGCCATACATCCTCTGCATCACCATCAGTGGCTGAGCCTTCAGTTCCTACTCC